CTCCATTGTAACAGTGTTAAGAGGGTGGGAAATCCAATTATGGTATTTGAAAGGTGGGGCCATTGAGAGGTGATTATGTTGTGAGGACTGTGCCCTCGTGAACGCATTGATCCATTCATGGAGTAATGGGCATGGCTCTGACAGCTTTATAAGGAGAGTGTGCAAGAAGGTTAGCTCTCTTGTGCTTGCACTTCTTGACATATGATATCCTGGTCACCACGAGACCCTGTAGGGAGTCACCACTACCAAGAAGAAGGCCCTCACCAGACGTGTTCCCTGGACCGTGGACTTCCCAGACTCCAAAACCATAAGAAATAAATTTCATTTCTTCATAAATTACTCACTTTCAGGTATTCTGAAATAAGCCACATAAACAAACGAATATACGAACCCTCCAGGGAATTCTGATGCTGTTTAAAGTTTGAGAGCCACTGTGTTAGAGGAACCTCATAAGACATTAGGAGCCTAGGCAAGCAGCTACCTGGCTGTTGAGATCTCTGCCATGATACCAGCTCCTGGAGATGTCAGCCTAGTGTGGTGCCCTGGAAGCACTGGAGGGACCTGAGTTCAAATGCTGGGTGCCTTTTATGTGAGCTAACGGTTTCTGCAGGCCTTGGTTTTCTTATCTATGATGGTGTAAATGAGGTAGAAGGTGCTCAGTCTCCATGGGGTCAGGTTTCAGGCCACTCCCCTGGGTCTCAAACCACTCTCCTAGGACTCCCGCTCTTCTTCTGAGTCCTGAGCTATGGTAGCCCATAGCACCTATTTTGGGTCCTAGCACGTGGAGATTGAGACCATAGTGGGCATCTCACATGCCCAGCATACTCAGTAAAAAGGAGTCTCTTTAATGACTTCCCACTGAAGTTGCTAGAGAGCATAGAATATATTTGAATATGTAGCCCATAGCACCTATTTTGGGTCCTAGCACGTGGAGATTGAGACCATAGTGGGCATCTCACATGCCCAGCATACTCAGTAAGAAGGAGTCTCTTTAATGACTTCCCACTGAAGTTGCTAGAGAGCATAGAATATATTTGAATATATTTAATGCACTGTGATGGAATTTAACCAATGAGCATGCTCTAAAAAGAGACGAACTGAGCATGTGCAAGACTAGGTTACATAACTGGGAATGACCTCCTTAGTTGAATATTCATTAGACAACATTAATATGTATTAGATAACAAAACTATAAAAGTCAAATCCAGGAAGAAGGCGGGGCTATTGCTCATTCTCCTAGAGCCAGCCCACACTTCACCTGTGGATACACTTCACTTTCTTTCTTTGTGTATGAAACTTGCCTTTGGCAGGCTGCTGTTCACTCTAGCTAGAGTCAGCCTGCACTTTGTGAATGTTATTTCTCACTTTTGTGTTAAACTTGGTATGGGCCCTGCTCAGTCTCTGGAGCTAGGCCACATATGTCTTATTTGTTATATTAAACCTGTTCTCACTTTCTCTGTGACTCCGTTCTTGAATTCTTTCCTGTGGCGGAGTCAAGAACCTGGTAGAGGATGGGGTGGGTTGAGGCCAACTATCGGGCCTCCCCAGAGTCTCTCCTCCAGTATCATAAACACCAGCACATCTGGATCATTGTGGGCAGAAAATGGAATAGCACATGGCGGGGGGTGGGTGGCTAACGATAGCTGTTACTACTTCCAGGAATAATGATGGGCCTGTTTTAAAATATGCTGTGTCCCCACTGGGCCTATATCCTGCTCAGTACATAGAAGCAGAAAGAGAGAACGTCTTCAGTCATTCCAAGTGGCAGGAGAACATCTCATTCTGAACTAGACCATTCTTGGCCTGTCCTAAACCCCAGGGGACTCCTGCACATTGCTCTCCTTTGGGGTTTGTTGCTTGTGTTTGTAGGCAGAGTGCTGTCTCCATCACCACAACCTCAATGTAATAACCACACAGTGGAAGAAATGAGGTTCACAGGGGGCTCGCTAATGTGCCTGGGCTACACAGCAAAAAGAAGCAGTGTCAGGGTTTCAGATTCAGGAATGTCTGCCTCGAGGGCACGTGGGGAAAGTCAGACTGCATGGGCCCTCAGCGTCCCTGCACATTCTTGCTGGGTACTCCAGACACACAAGACCCTGGCTGCGTGTTACCAGGGCCATTTCTCAGGGCTGTGTTTGCAGCGAGCAACCTTGAGGGATGAGGTGACATCTTCTTTCGAACAAAGAGCAGGCCTGTTTCTGCTGCTATAAAAGCAGGGAATGCCTCTGGCTCAGTGTTGCATGCGTATGCAGGCATTGATCATGGCCTATTGTGGGAACTGACTCAAACCAAGATGACGTTCTGCTACTGCTGTTGCTGTGGATAACAAAATCCTTTGTCTCTGACCCAGGAGCCTTACATCTTCTGCCAGCATCCTTGAAACAGTAACAATCTAGCTTGTTGCTGGCTTACCAATAGGTAGAACCTCTGACCTTGCACGGTTCTCGAGAGAGGCTTTGCTACTTCCTTCTTTCCCGAGGTGGACTGCTCCATGTGGTGGTCAGCTCCCCTCTCAGGCTCAGACCACCAGGCTGAGAATGCTAAAGAAAAACTTCCCCTCCAACTTGGAGATGGCAGTTTCCAGGGGCCTGAAAATAATGTTTCTAAATCCCCCAGCCGTTCCCACAATGACATGAATTAACTTGGCTCAGCCCTGTTTTGAAGGCTGCATCCTTCAATCAGATGTGACTTTTGGCAAATGGCTTTACTCAGCTGCAAAAGAATCAAGCCAGCCTTACCTTGATGTGCTTTGGCAATCAGTCCCCAAGGGGACCACATAGCCTCCTCCCCGGTACACAGTGAGTTTGCCCCAGATGGGATACCCTCGACGTTGGCTCTGGCTCTGGTACTGCCAAGCCTGGGGAAAGCCACTGCTGTTATTGAGGGTGGAGGCATTCCAGCCTTCCCCATAGTCCGCCAGGTCTTCTACATCCCAGGAATATGGTGCACGGCATCCATTTAAGGAAGACTGCAGCTGCTGGGCAAGAGGGCAAGAGCTTTCCCGGACCCTCACTTGGCGAATCTGGGCACTGCCAACCAGTTTGGAGTTCCCATCAGTGATAAAGCCTAGAGATGAAAACCAAGGGGGTAAAATCTAGCAATCAAAATCATCTGAACACTTCCCAGCTCCCTGGCTGATGTTGCCAGTGACCCTCACCTGTTCCTAGAAGGAAGCACACACAGGAGGCTGACACACAGTCCCGGGGCTGGGAGACGTACCTGGGTAATGACCGTACAGGTTGTTCACGAGGGTGGTGTTTGCCCACTCGAAGAACTCTTGGAAGCTCAGCACGGCTGAAAAGCCTCGGGTGAAGCTGTGCTCGAGGTGCCTATTGAAGTGGTAGGCGCAGGGGTCCCTCTGCCCGTAGGCTACCAGCAGCAGCATCCACAGGAAGCCCAGGTAGGCTGGGAAGGGAGGCACAGCCCCTGGTCAGGCAGTTTCCCCGACTCCTACCAAGTCCAGGACAGGAAATGGAACAGTGCATGGACTCAGAACTGTCAAGGCCTCAGAGAACGGCCCCTCACCACTCTGGTGACAGTGGAGACAAGCCTTATAGAGACAGCACAGAGGAGTGAAGGCCACAGGCAGTGAGCTTCCTGCCTAGATTCAAATCCCAGCCCTGCCACTTCCTATCCATACGCCTTTTCCAAGTGACTCTATTCCTCTGTGGCTCACTCTCCTCATCTGTGAAATGGAGCAATAATTCTATGACACAGCATTGTGGTGAGGGTATCAATCAATATTTATAAAGCACTTAAAATAGTGCCAGCACAGAGTTCATGCTATGTAAGTGTTTCTTAAATAGAATTTTTTTTTTTTTTTTT